GAAGCGTCCTCGCCGGGGCTTGTGGACAGACTGGGGGACGGGGATGGGTGCGGGGGAGAGAGGAAAGCCCAGAAAGCTCCAGCGGCGGGGAGGTGAGCTCCCCGGGGTCGTGCCGCGGCCCCTGCTCTGAGCGCTGTCCCCTCCCCGCCCGGCCAGGTCTGCGCTGCTGGATGAGAAGCGGCGTCTGGAGGCGCGGATCGCGCAGCTGGAGGAGGAGCTGGAAGAGGAGCAGAGCAACACGGAGCTGCTCAACGACCGCTTCCGCAAGACCACGCTGCAGGTGGCCCGCGCCGCGGCCCGGCGCCCGGGAAGGGCTGCACTGCCCCCGTGGCGCGAGCGACTAAACCCGGCTCTCCTCTCCAGGTGGACACGCTGAACGCAGAGCTGGCGGCCGAGCGCAGCGCCGCCCAGAAGAGTGACAACGCGCGCCAGCAGCTGGAGCGGCAGAACAAGGAGCTCAAGGCCAAGCTGCAGGAACTGGAGGGCACCGTCAAGTCCAAGTTCAAGGCCACCATCTCGGCCCTGGAAGCCAAGATCGGGCAGCTGGAGGAGCAGCTGGAGCAGGAAGCCAAGTAAGAGGGCGCGGCCGCCCTCACCCCCAGACCTCCCTGCGTCTCCACTGCAGGCCGGGTCCGGGCCGAGCCCGGGAGTCGCGGCCCAGACCGCCACATGCCCCTGGCCCTCTGGTGGCACGGGGACACCTGTCACCCGAGTGGGAGACAGAAGGTGGTGTCAGCCCGTGCTGGTGACTTCCTGGTGCCAGAGGAACCCCAGGCTTCCCGCTGTCCAGACTCCACTGCATCCGGATAAAAGGGCTTGTTGGCGGCTGCCGTAATTAATATGACTTGCCCTTTCCAGCTAACTCCCTGGCTCTCCATTTTTGCATCACATTTGTGAAGGAACAAAAGAATATTCTCTGTTCTCAGTGCAGTTCTCCATGTGGCCTATCAGGGCCTGTGTGGGCCCGTCTAGAAGCCTGCTGATTAGCTTGGCTCCAACAAGAGTCACTGTTAGAGCCGCACTAGCCCCTAGCGTCTTGGTAGGCAGTCCGTCAATTTTAAATTGAAACGGTCAGTTAATAAATTGGGTCTTGGTTTGTTTGGGTTTCAGGCTGAAAAGTTAGGTAATTAGAGTAACCAAAGTTTTGCCCTCAAAGTGTCTGAATTCAGTTTATGGGACAGGTAGCTTTGCCCTTGAGATCATCACTGAATAAAGCAACCAAGAGCTGTGTGTCAAGCCCCGACACATGCACGTTTTCTGCCTGGCGCCGTTAGGATACCCGAGAGGGAACCCATACTTTAAGCACAGGGGAAACAAAGGTTTCCGGGCTACAGCAATTACACCATCATTCTGGTCAGAGGTCGTGGAAAAAGTCTAGCTTGTGTCCTCTCCCGGACAAAAAGGACCTTAAAAACACTCTCCTCGTTCAGCTGTCGTTTCTAGAGCTGCGAACACTAACGCGTTGGTCACTTGAACAGGGAACGGGCAGCCGCCAACAAGCTAGTCCGCCGCACGGAGAAGAAGCTGAAGGAGATCTTCATGCAGGTGGAAGACGAACGTCGCCATGCAGATCAGTACAAAGAACAGGTAAGGGAAGAAGGCGGGCCCGGCGTTACCGACCGACTGGCGAGGATAAGAAAGCGTCACAAACGTGTGCCGTCCTCCCCCTGAAGGCCCAGAGCAGCTCCTGGGCACTGGCTGGACTCAGGGTGGACACGGACAAAAGAAACGTGCCGTGTGCAGGACCTGCGGGGTCTTCTCGCCTGCACTCAGGCACCTCTGTCTCCGCATCGAGGGGAAGCGCTAACGGGACCGGTTGCCGCGGCCACGTCCGCTCGGTCTGCTGCCTGGGGAGCCCTGCTCTCCCTCTGGCTCCCTCTGCCGTGATGAGACTTGTCACCGCAGACACGGGGAGGGAAGGCGGGCTCCACTCAGGCTCTCCCTCCATCCCCCACCTTCAGGACCTAGCGACACCCAGGGCAGTTCCGGGAGGGGGAGACCCGCGAGGCACTGGCGCGTGTCTGCATCACAGAGTTCCGGTGTCCACTCTCCGGACGGCTCTGCACTTGAATCCAAACATACCCTCCAAGACACCCGCATTGAACGGACCGTAGAAACTGCCACCTGCTAGGGCTGGAGACCGTCCACATCGTTGGCTCTCGTACTGTGCAGGAAGAGGGATTCCTCCTCGTGATCCCACGGGGCACTCCCGTGAAGACCCTAAACTGTGTCGTTTCTGCGGAAAACTCAAGGGCGGGGG